AAGGCTCTACCTCCCATAGTACATTTAGAGACTGTACCACGAGCAGGCCTGATAACTGAAGGCTCTACCTCCCATAGTACATTTAGAGACTGTACCACGAGCAGGCCTGATAACTGAAGGCTCTACCTCCCATAGTACATTTAGAGACTGTACCACGAGCAGGCCTGATAACTGAAGGCTCTACCTCCCATAGTACATTTAGAGACGTAGGTACCACGAGCAGGCCTGATAACTGAAGGCTCTACCTCCCATAGTACATTTAGAGACTGTACCACGAGCAGGCCTGATAACTGAAGGCTCTACCTCCCATAGTACATTTAGAGACTGTACCACGAGCAGGCCTGATAACTGAAGGCTCTACCTCCCATAGTACATTTAGAGACTGTACCACGAGCAGGCCTGATAACTGAAGGCTCTACCTCCCATAGTACATTTAGAGACGTAGGTACCACGAGCAGGCCTGATAACTGAAGGCTCTACCTCCCATAGTACATTTAGAGACTGTACCACGAGCAGGCCTGATAACTGAAGGCTCTACCTCCCATAGTACATTTAGAGACTGTACCACGAGCAGGCCTGATAACTGAAGGCTCTACCTCCCATAGTACATTTAGAGACTGTACCACGAGCAGGCCTGATAACTGAAGGCTCTACCTCCCATAGTACATTTAGAGACTGTACCACGAGCAGGCCTGATAACTGAAGGCTCTACCTCCCATAGTACATTTAGAGACTGTACCACGAGCAGGCCTGATAACTGAAGGCTCTACCTCCCATAGTACATTTAGAGACTGTACCACGAGCAGGCCTGATAACTGAAGGCTCTACCTCCCATAGTACATTTAGAGACTGTACCACGAGCAGGCCTGATAACTGAAGGCTCTACCTCCCATAGTACATTTAGAGACGTAGTACCACGAGCAGGCCTGATAACTGAAGGCTCTACCTCCCATAGTACATTTAGAGACGTAGGTACCACGAGCAGGCCTGATAACTGAAGGCTCTACCTCCCATAGTACATTTAGAGACTGTACCACGAGCAGGCCTGATAACTGAAGGCTCTACCTCCCATAGTACATTTAGAGACTGTACCACGAGCAGGCCTGATAACTGAAGGCTCTACCTCCCATAGTACATTTAGAGACGTGTACCACGAGCAGGCCTGATAACTGAAGGCTCTACCTCCCATAGTACATTTAGAGACTGTACCACGAGCAGGCCTGATAACTGAAGGCTCTACCTCCCATAGTACATTTAGAGACTGTACCACGAGCAGGCCTGATAACTGAAGGCTCTACCTCCCATAGTACATTTAGAGACTGTAGTACCACGAGCAGGCCTGATAACTGAAGGCTCTACCTCCCATAGTACATTTAGAGACTGTACCACGAGCAGGCCTGATAACTGAAGGCTCTACCTCCCATAGTACATTTAGAGACTGTACCACGAGCAGGCCTGATAACTGAAGGCTCTACCTCCCATAGTACATTTAGAGACTGTACCACGAGCAGGCCTGATAACTGAAGGCTCTACCTCCCATAGTACATTTAGAGACTGGTACCACGAGCAGGCCTGATAACTGAAGGCTCTACCTCCCATAGTACATTTAGAGACTGTACCACGAGCAGGCCTGATAACTGAAGGCTCTACCTCCCATAGTACATTTAGAGACTGTACCACGAGCAGGCCTGATAACTGAAGGCTCTACCTCCCATAGTACATTTAGAGACTGTACCACGAGCAGGCCTGATAACTGAAGGCTCTACCTCCCATAGTACATTTAGAGACTGTACCACGAGCAGGCCTGATAACTGAAGGCTCTACCTCCCATAGTACATTTAGAGACTGTACCACGAGCAGGCCTGATAACTGAAGGCTCTACCTCCCATAGTACATTTAGAGACTGTACCACGAGCAGGCCTGATAACTGAAGGCTCTACCTCCCATAGTACATTTAGAGACTGTACCACGAGCAGGCCTGATAACTGAAGGCTCTACCTCCCATAGTACATTTAGAGACTGTAGGTACCACGAGCAGGCCTGATAACTGAAGGCTCTACCTCCCATAGTACATTTAGAGACTGTACCACGAGCAGGCCTGATAACTGAAGGCTCTACCTCCCATAGTACATTTAGAGACTGTACCACGAGCAGGCCTGATAACTGAAGGCTCTACCTCCCATAGTACATTTAGAGACTGTACCACGAGCAGGCCTGATAACTGAAGGCTCTACCTCCCATAGTACATTTAGAGACTGTACCACGAGCAGGCCTGATAACTGAAGGCTCTACCTCCCATAGTACATTTAGAGACGTAGGTACCACGAGCAGGCCTGATAACTGAAGGCTCTACCTCCCATAGTACATTTAGAGACTGTAGGTACCACGAGCAGGCCTGATAACTGAAGGCTCTACCTCCCATAGTACATTTAGAGACTGTAGGTACCACGAGCAGGCCTGATAACTGAAGGCTCTACCTCCCATAGTACATTTAGAGACTGTAGGTACCACGAGCAGGCCTGATAACTGAAGGCTCTACCTCCCATAGTACATTTAGAGACTGTAGGTACCACGAGCAGGCCTGATAACTGAAGGCTCTACCTCCCATAGTACATTTAGAGACTAGGTACCACGAGCAGGCCTGATAACTGAAGGCTCTACCTCCCATAGTACATTTAGAGACTGTACCACGAGCAGGCCTGATAACTGAAGGCTCTACCTCCCATAGTACATTTAGAGACTGTACCACGAGCAGGCCTGATAACTGAAGGCTCTACCTCCCATAGTACATTTAGAGACTGTACCACGAGCAGGCCTGATAACTGAAGGCTCTACCTCCCATAGTACATTTAGAGACCGTAGGTACCACGAGCAGGCCTGATAACTGAAGGCTCTACCTCCCATAGTACATTTAGAGACTGTAGGTACCACGAGCAGGCCTGATAACTGAAGGCTCTACCTCCCATAGTACATTTAGAGACTGTACCACGAGCAGGCCTGATAACTGAAGGCTCTACCTCCCATAGTACATTTAGAGACTGTACCACGAGCAGGCCTGATAACTGAAGGCTCTACCTCCCATAGTACATTTAGAGACTGTACCACGAGCAGGTCTGATAACTGAAGGCTCTACCTCCCATAGTACATTTAGAGACTGTAGGTACCACGAGCAGGCCTGATAACTGAAGGCTCTACCTCCCATAGTACATTTAGAGACTGTACCACAAACAGGCCTGATAACTGAAGGCTCTACCTCCCATAGTACATTTAGAGACCGTAGGTACCACGAGCAGGTCTGATAACTGAAGGCTCTACCTCCCATAGTACATTTAGAGACTGTACCACAGCAGGCCTGATAACTGAAGGCTCTACCTCCCATAGTACATTTAGAGACTGTAGGTACCACGAGCAGGCCTGATAACTGAAGGCTCTACCTCCCATAGTACATTTAGAGACTGTACCACAGCAGGCCTGATAACTGAAGGCTCTACCTCCCATAGTACATTTAGAGACCGTAGGTACCACGAGCAGGCCTGATAACTGAAGGCTCTACCTCCCATAGTACATTTAGAGACTGTAGGTACCACGAGCAGGCCTGATAACTGAAGGCTCTACCTCCCATAGTACATTTAGAGACTGTACCACGAGCAGGCCTGATAACTGAAGGCTCTACCTCCCATAGTACATTTAGAGACTGTAGGTACCACGAGCAGGCCTGATAACTGAAGGCTCTACCTCCCATAGTACATTTAGAGACTGTAGGTACCACGAGCAGGTCTGATAACTGAAGGCTCTACCTCCCATAGTACATTTAGAGACTGTACCACGAGCAGGCCTGATAACTGAAGGCTCTACCTCCCATAGTACATTTAGAGACTGTAGGTACCACGAGCAGGCCTGATAACTGAAGGCTCTACCTCCCATAGTACATTTAGAGACTGTACCACAAACAGGCCTGATAACTGAAGGCTCTACGTCCCATAGTACATTTAGAGACCGTAGGTACCACGAGCAGGTCTGATAACTGAAGGCTCTACCTCCCATCGTACATTTAGAGACTGTAGGTACCACGAGCAGGCCTGATAACCGAAGGCTCCACCTCCCATAGTACATTTAGAGACTGTACCACGAGCAGGCCTGATAACCGAAGGCTCTACCTCCCATAGTACATTTAGAGACTGTAGGTACCACGAGCAGGCCTGATAACCGAAGGCTCTACCTCCCATAGTACATTTAGAGACTGTAGGTACCACGAGCAGGTCTGATAACTGAAGGCTCTACCTCCCATAGTATATTTAGAGACTGTACCACGAGCAGGTCTGATAACTGAAGGCTCTACCTCCCATAGTACATTTTCTAAAATGTAAAAGTGTTTCATATTTTATACTTTTGTTTTGAACTTCCCAGTCACTGTAGGAAATGACACACAAAAGGGCTTGACATATCAAATAATAAATACATTACATTCACGTTATTATATCTAAGTTTATAGTTAAACACAAATAAATATGGATTCATATTTATTTATATGTTTTCTTTGTTCATTTTCAGTCTTTTCTCTCTTCTGATGACGTCACCTGGTGACGCTGATGGAGGTGAAGGTGTGGAGGGAAAATGTATTTTTACTTTCGGAGGAGGTGTCAGAGAGGAGGCTGGACATGAGACTTCCGGTTCTGTGATACTAAACCTTCAGAGTAAAATAAAAAGTGTCTAATTTTTTTTTTTTTTTTCATATTTTGCAACATTTTCGATGGGACGGTCTTCAAAACTCAAATAAATAATCTACATATTAGAATTATCTCAACCAAACGTCTCCTTCATTGTAATTATTAATGTGTTTTATTTTACATTGTTTCAGATTTTTCAGCTTTATTTATTTCCCCGGCAGAGCTTCCAGTTCTGAAGGTTTACACATTTCAGGCTTTTATTCTGAAAAAACACAAGGGAAATCCCGGAATAGTGGTCTCTTTTTTTTCTTCTTGATTTTGCATCCGCTCTGA